CCAATTCTGCAGCTGTCTGTGACACGGATCTGGTGAACTACATTCTGTTTCAATTCTGACAACTGCCTGGAGCTACTACAGATCCCACAGGTGAAGGGCTCAGTCGGGTAAGGCTGCCCCCACTTTAGCTTAAGTCTCAAGTCCAGGGTGTGTCTACATGGGCTTTGGCCCCACCAGCTGTTAAGTCAAGGTTACGACAACCCCCGCCTCAGGTTTGGTTAATTTCCTAGAGCTGGTCACAGAACTTCAGTAAACGGTGCACTTACTAGACCACTGGTTTATTGGAAAAGATACAGCTCCGGAACAGCCAGACGGAAGAGATGCAGAGAGCAAGGTCTTAGGGGAGGGGCCTGGAGCTCCATGCCCTCCCCAGGTGCAGCCCCTCCGTGTGCTCAGCAACCCGGAAGATCTCAGGAATGTTGATGGAGGCTTCATTTTTTGGCACAACTCATTAAATCATTGGCCGATCCATTGGTGACTCACTCAGCCTCCTGGCCCCTTCCCTTTCAGTCCAAGGAGGGGGACTGAAAGCTCTAACCCACTTAATCACATGGTTGCCCATCTCCCCCCGCCCCTGCAAGGAGTCCCCATCCTGAGGCTCTCCAGGTGTCCCCAAGCAGATAGTCATCTCTTGGCAGGCAAAGACACTTTTCACTGCAGACAGTCCTAGGGTTTTTAGAATTGGGTGACAGGAAACCAGGGCAGAAACCAAATATATATTTTTTATTATTTCACAGTAGTTCAAAAAAAATTTTTTTTTAAGCAGGCTCTACAGGGGCGCCTGGATGGCTCAGTCGTTAAGCGTCTGCCTTCAGCTCAGGTCATGATCCGAGGGTCCCGGAATCGAGCCCCGCGTTGGGCTCCCAGCTCAGCTCGAAGCCTGCTTCTCCCTCTCCCACTCCCCCTGCTTGTGTTCCCTCTCTTGCTGCATCTCTCTATGTCAAATAAATAAATAAAATCTTAAGAAAAAAAAAAGAACAGGACTGGAAATGTATATTTTCTTCCTTATGATTTTCTTTTTAAAAAAATATTTATTTGAGAGAGAGACAGAGCACAAGTGTTGGGGGGAAGGGGCAGAGGGAAAGGGAGACACAGCATCTGTGCTGACCAGGGAGCCTGATACGGGGCTCCATCCCAGGACCAGGAGATCATGACCTGAGCCAAAGTCAGACACTTAACCAACTGAGACACCAAGGTGCCCCCCTTTATGATTTTTTTTTCAAAATATTTATTTATTTATTTGAGAGAAAGAGAGAGAGACAGAGAGACAAAGAGAGTACAAGCAGGGGGAGAGGGCGAGGGAGAAGCAGACTCCTGGCTGAGCTGGGAGCCAGACATGGGGCTTGATCCCAGGACCTGTAGATCATGACCTGTGCCAAAGGCAGACGCTTAACAATCTGAGCCACCCAGGTGCCCATGATCTTTTTTTAAAGGTTTTATTTATTCATTTGACCCAGAGAGAGTGAGAGAGAGAGCACAAGCAGGGAGACCTGCAGGCAGAGGAGGGAGAGCTCTCCGCTGAGCAGGGAGCCTGATGTAGGATTCAATCCCATGACCTGAGCTGAAGGCAGACACTTAACTGAGCCACCCAGGCGCTCCCATGACTGACTTATTTTTTATTTTATTTTTTTAAAAAATATTTTATTTATTTATTTGACAGAGAGAGATCACAAGTAGGCAGAGATACAAGCAGAGAGAGGGGAAGCAGGCTCCCTGCTGAGCAAAGAGCCAGATTCGGGGCTCGATCCCAGGACCCTGGGATCATGACCTGAGCCAAAGGCAGAGGCTTAACCCACTAAGCCATTCAGGCACTCGTCCTGTGACTTTCTTTCTTTCTTTTTTTTTTTTAAAGATTTTTATTTATTTATTTGACAGACAGAGATCACAACTAGGCAGAGAGGCAGGCAGAGAGAGAGAGGGGAAAGCAGGCTCCCTGCTTGAGCAGAGAGCCCGATGCGGGGCTCGATCCCAGGACCCCGAGATCATGACCTGAGCCGAAGGCAGAGGGTTTAACCCACTGAGCCACCCAGGCACCCCGTCCTGTGACTTTCTTAATAACATTTTCTTTTCTCTAGTTTACTTTATTGGAAGACTACAGTATATAATATATATGCAAAATACATGTTAATAGATTATTCCTGTTATTGGTAAGGTTTCTGGTCAACAGCAGGCTGTTAGTAGTCAAGATTTTGGGGAACCAAAAGTTATATGTGGATTTTCAACTTCGCGGGGGGTAGCACCCCCAACTCACTTGTTGTTCAAGGGTCTACCGTATTTTTACTTATCTTGGGTATAAACGCAGGAGTGGGATTTTGGATCACCCAGTAAGTGTACAGTTCATTGCTTAAGAAACTGACCAGCTGCCTTCTAGAGTGACTAAGCCACTTCCTGCTGGAGTCTTCCCTCCAGCAACAGATGAGGAGGGTTCCAGTTGCTCCAAATCCTTGTCACCAATTGTCATTATTGTCTTCAGTTCTTGTCTGTTTCTTGTTTGTTTATTTGAACCATCCTAGCAGGTGTGAAGGGATGGTTCTGGGTGTTAATTTGTATTTCCCTAAGGAGTAATGGTGTTTCCTTTGCTTATTTGCCATCTGTATATCTTCTTTGGCGAGCTGTCCAGACTTTTGATCATTTTTAAATTGAATTCCTTGTCTTCTTTTTATTGAGTTTGGAGTCTTCATTATATAGTCTGGATACAGGTCCTTTGTCATATATTTTCTCCTAGTATGTAACTTGTCTTTTTATGCTTTCGACTGTGTCTTCTGCAGAGCAGAAGTTTTTAGAGTTTTTAAGAAGTTTTTTTGATGTTTGATTTTTATTTTTTTTAAAGATTTTATTTATTTATTTATTTATTTATTTGACAGAGAGAGAGAGATCACAAGTAGGCAGAGCGGCAGGCAGAGACAGAGAGGGAAGCAGGCTCCCCGCTGAGCAGAGAGCCTGATGTGGGGGTTGATCCCAGGACCCTGAGATCATGACCTGAGCTGAAGGCAGAGGCTTAACCCCTGAGCCACCCAGGCACCCCGGATGTTTGATTTTTAAAGGAAGTTTGAATTTTTGGCTGTTTAAAAGTTCTGATTTCTGGGGCCCCTAGGTGGTCCAGTCGGTTAAGCCTCCGACTCTTTGATCTCAGCTCAGGGCTTGATCTTGGGGTCGTGAGTTCAAGCCTAGGGTTGGGCTCCACACTGGGCGTGGAGCCTACTTTAAAAATAATAATTAAAAAATAATAAAATTTGTGATTTATTTCCTAAAATTGGACTACCCGGTTGCCCAGGACCCCTAGCACCACCCTGCCTTTGGTGTCAGATGCCTGGGCCCTGGGAACATTTGCTTTAATGGTAGGAATGTGCTCAAATGGGGCTTGAGTAGGTAGAGGGCGGCAGCTGACCAGTTTGAATTCTGACCCGTGTTTACACTGGTCACCTGGATACCCCGAAGGAGGTGGTGCTTGTCCCCATTTTGTGGATGAGGAAACTGAAATCCAGCCATTTCTCCCCAGGTCATACCTCTGGGAATTGGCAGAGCCAGCATCTCCCTGCCTCATCCTGAGAATCTCTGCCTTGCAGTGCCCCCAGGCTGGGTCCCCTTTCCTCCCCTCTCTCTGTAGCTGTGTCTCTACAGTCACAGTCTGTATCCCCACTCTAGCCACACCAGCTTCCTTGCTAGTCCTCACACAAAAGCCAAATCCTGCCCCAGGGCTTTTGCACTTGCTATCCACCACCCCACCACCCCCGCCTCACCCTACCCCCACCCCTGGAGTGTTTTCTCCTACCTCCTGACCAGTGGCCTGCTCCTTCTTATCTTTCAGGCCCTGCTCACATGTCCCCTCCTCAAAGAGGCCTGGCTCAACTAGCAGCTAAAATCACCTCTCCAGTAACTTTCAGTCACCCACCTGGTTTCTAATTCTGTGCATGGCACAATCCGGTTCATACATTCATTCGTTACATTTTATGGTTTATTAGGTAGATATGTATGGGGTGTCTACTGTGTGCCAGGCCATCTTTCTGGCTCAAGAGATATAGCAGTGAACAAAGCAGACAAAAATCCTTCCTCTCCAAGGCTTAGTTCTAGAAAGGAAGGCAAATAGTAAAGAAATCAAATATAGAGTATGTCAGGTAAGTAGTATTTCTTTTTTTTTAAGGAAGGGAGATATAAAAATATTGGGGCAGAGATTCAGATCTTAAATGTGTTGGTCAAGTGAGGCCTCCTGAGAAGACAACGTTTAAGCCGAGGCCTGAAGGAGGTAAAGGAGGAGCCACCGGAGATCTGGGCAGGGGAAGCAGCCTGTGCAAAGGCCCTGAGGCTGGAATGTATCTGGAATGTTTAGGAAACAGCAAGGAGACCATTGTGGCTGGAGTGGAGTGAGTGAGGGGTGGACTGGGAGGTCATCAGGCAGGGCCCTGTGGGCCACAGGGGGGACTTGGGCTTTTGCTCTAGGGTGAGCTGGGAGCCATAGAAGGATCTGAACAGAAGAAGGATGGGACCTGACACAAGTGTTCAAAGGCTCCCTCTGGCCACAGTGGAGGGAAACAGACTGGGGAGCAAAGACAGGAGCCAGGGACCAGGGCAGAGACAAATGTGCTGGTCCAGATCCAGGCAAGCACTGAGGCAGGGCTGACCCAAGAAGGGGTGCGAAGTGGACAGATTCTGAATAGACTTGGGCATCAAGGAAAGAGTAGAGCCAAGAAGGCCCCCACACTTTGGGGGTGTGCACTGCCGCCAGGCTAACCTGTTTATAGTCCAGCCTCCCCATGACATGTCCTTGAGGGACAGAGGATGGTCTGTCTCAGTCACTGCTGGGTCCCCAGCACCTCTACAGAGCCTGGCTCTCAGAGGCGCTCAGTAGTTTGAGCTCCGCAACTCCCCATCTCTTTTGGGGTATCTGTCTCTCTTTAATGTCTCCTATCTGCCCTCCCACCTCAACCAGGAATTTCCTTGTACATTCCTTTCCAATGTCATCTCAGCTTCGCTGACCGTCTTTTTTGCCCATCCCCTTACAGCTTTGAGGCAGAGAATGGGCCCTCGCCATCTCCCGGCCGCAGCCCCCTGGACTCGCAGGCGAGCCCGGGCCTCGTGCTGCATGCTGGGGCCGCCACCAGCCAGCGCCGGGAGTCCTTCCTGTACCGCTCAGACAGCGACTACGACATGTCCCCCAAAACTATGTCCCGGAACTCGTCGGTCACCAGCGAGGCGTGAGCACCCCCTTGTCACCCTCCAGGCCTGCTCCCACATGAGCTGCCCTTGCCAGCAGGGAGTGGGGACCCTGCCAAGCCCCGGGCTACCTCTCCCTTCCAGTGAAAAGTAAACAGCCCCCTTGTCCATAGCAAGGGCTCAGTCCCGCCTACCCACTGGCAGCTGGGGCCTGGCCCCCCCTCAGCCCTGTCCCTCCAACAAGGAGAGAACTCCACGTGCGCCCCGCCCTGCTGCCACTTCTTCCTACAGACTGTCCACCTTGGCTGAGCCCACTTTTCCTTCTCCCCCACCCCAGGGCTCCCTAAGCCAGTCCCCCTTATCACAACCACCTGTTGAGGTGTGAGCACCCCCAGACCTGCTCAGCCCCCTCCCCTCTCACTGGATCCTCCAGTCCTGGCCCTACCCATCCAGGTACCCACCTCAGCACCCCCATCTCCTTCCTGCTCCTCACCCCCTCCTGCCCACTGCTCTTACCAAGCCCAGCCCCGGCAGGGTATTTATGGCTGTCCCCTTTGTCTCTGCACACCCCATCCCTGCCCACCCACGTGAGCTCCTCTCTGTGACCACCATTTCCTTCAGGACCAGCCCCTGCAGGGTGTCTACCCTTGGGAGGTGTAAGTGCCTTCTCCCCTGACCTGTCCGAGCTTCCCCTCCCAGCCCACCAACCTCCCCAGGCCCAACCCACTCTAGCGAGTTGCTTCTCTGGCACCCTAGTCCTTCTCCACCCAGGCCCATAGGTGTCCCGATGCAAGGACTCCTGACCTGCCCCTGTCCTTGATTGCAGGCACGCTGAGGACCTCATTGTGACACCTTTTGCCCAGGTAAGACCCCTCTCCTAAGGAGGGAAGGGGTTCCAACCCTCCCCCACGGTTGGGGATGGTGCCTAGCCCTAGCCGCCTCTCCACATGGCTCCCTCTTTTCACTGCTGCTCCCTATCCCAGGTGCTGGCCAGTCTCCGGAGTGTTCGCAGCAACTTCTCACTCCTGACCAATGTACCCATTCCCAGCAACAAGTAAGTCAGGGCTGGTCCTGATTGCAAGGCTAACTAAGCACACCTGGGTTCAACTCTTAGCTCTGCTGTGTGACCTCAGGCAGGAACTTGATCTCTCTGAGCCTCTGTTCAGGCAACAGCTCCCCCTGAGCCAGTAAACCATTGCAATTTGAATGCCTAAGACAGAAACTTAAAACTAAAGACCAAGGGGTCCAGACACTTTGGTGATGAGGCCAAGGGTAGCCAGTTACCCCAGGCTTGGGGCCACTGCAGGCCCCGATGCCAACTTCCTGGGCAAATAGCATCTTGTGGTACCTTTGCTCCCCCTCCATAAAATGGGAATTTAATAGCGCCTCCATTAGATGTGGCTGTGAGGAGTCTGGAAGATGATACACAGGAAAGTGTGAGAACATTGTTCAGCACTAAAAAGCGGTAGTTATTATGTGGGGGCAGGGGTGTGGCCGAGAACTGCTGGTCCCTCCAGGAGTTAGGGGAAGGATGCTCAAGGAAGTAAGAACTTTGGAGACAAAGGACCTGTCCCTACCTCTGACCAGCCCTGTCACTCCTTTGAGCCCGTTTCCTCATCTGTAAAATGGGTCCTTATGGGGCTCTGTGAGAGGCTGCAGGCTGAGTACATGGGACACAGTGAGCGCTCAGAAAAAGGAAAATTGGCATTATTCATGGAGGGGGGAAGCAGGAATCCGGACGCACAGGCTGATGCTGGAGGTCCATTTCTTTGCAGACGGTCCCCATTGGGCGGCCCAACCCCCGTCTGCAAGGCCACGCTATCAGGTAACAAAGCCCAGGGGGTGGGAAAAGAGCCCTCTTGCTACTGGGGTGGGGGTCCTCTCACTCGGGGTGGCTGTCTTAACGGTCCTTTCCCAGCACCCCTCTCACCTGGTAGACCCCCATCATCACGGGCTGGGGCCTCTGGGTCACCACCTGTGCTGCCCCTTTTCCAGAAGAGACATGTCAGCAACTGGCCCGGGAGACACTAGAGGAGCTGGACTGGTGTCTCGAACAGCTGGAGACCATGCAGACATACCGCTCCGTGAGCGAGATGGCTTCTCACAAGGTGAGAGGGCCTGGAGCCAGCAGGGCGGGAGCAGCCCCTGGGCGGGGCCTGGGGATAGGGGCCACCCGCTGGGTGGGACCTATAGGCGGGGATTCCTTGGGGGCGGGGCTGGTTTCTGGATAGGGCCAATGAGGTGGGACCATTCCCTGGGTCTGTGGGGTGGGGCAGACTGTTGGGTGGGGCATGGGGCGGAGCTAACTATGGGGCGGTCAATCAGTACATGGGGCCTATGGGGTGGGAGTCCATCCTTAGGCGGGGCTGACCCCCTAGTCTGCCTGTTCCCGTGGGTGCTGACTTCTCCCAGGGGTGGGGGAGCCTGGTGTGTGTGTGGATGGGTATGGGTGTCTTTACACCTGCATGTAGACAACCGTCTCTCTTAAGCGGGGTTCTTATGCTAGAGTCTACAAGTGTGTATGTGCCCGTGGGTCTGTGTGGCTGTCAGTTTGCAGGCTACACATTCGCAGCACAAGGCGGGGTGGGAGGGGATGTTTTAAGAGGGCACATCAGGAGCGGTATGCAGATGTGTACCTACGAAAGATATATGGGTGTGCACAGACAATTATACTGGGTTGCGTGTGGGCCTGTGCCAGAGGGGTGAGTATGTTTACAAGTGTGAGTTGGCCTAGGAATGAATCTGAGTGTGTATCTCCATGTGTTTGTGACTCTGTGCGCGCGCATGCAGGGCTACAGGGGAGGGTGCAAGGCTCCCATGCACAGCTGTGCAGATTGTGGACTGCACAACTCCAGAGGACACCATTCAGAAAGCAGGCAATATGAATGATGTTTCTGTTGTGCAGCATGGTGGTTGCCCTTGTGGGAGGAAGAAGCCTATCAGGAAATGAGTATGCAGGTGGAGGTGTCTGTGTTGGGGATGGGTGCCTACACCTGTGGGTGGAGGTTTGTCTGGGAACATTCAAGTCTGAGGGTGATTGTGTCTCTGAGAGTGTACTGAGCATCTGAGAGTGTGACTGTCTCTAAATGTAGGTCTTCGGTTGTGTTTCTGCAGTGGGGTGTCTGTGTATTTGTGGGTGTGAGTGTGAGCATTCCCTCGTGGATTTCTCAGGGTCTGTCTGGTACCCAGGGCCACATGGGTTTTTGTGTCTGTTTGAGAAAGTGTGTCTGTGGCTATGCTGAATGTTTGTTAAGTGTGCCAGTATATCTGGGTGTTTGTCCCTAGGTGTGTGTCTCCACATCTGGGTGTGACTCTGTGTTCCTGGAAGTGCTGCATCTGAAGGTGTCTACCTCCTGTGTGTCCAGCAGTCTACCTGTAAATGTGTTGGACATCAGAGTTGTGACTATGTGGTATGTGCTTGCATATGGGTTGGTGTGGAAGGTGTGTCTCAGAGTGTTTGTGTGTCTGTGAATGTGTAGAGCATCTGGGTGTGTGTCTTTGTCTCTGGATGTGTCCATGGAGGGGACATGTCCTCTCCAGGGTGTGTGTGCCTCCCTGCCATCCCTGGCAGCCCCACCTGGATCCTGGCTTAGGCCCGTGGGCTCCGATGCCCCTTTAACGCCCCCCCCACCCCCGGCACCACCTGACGTTGCATGCAGCCTGCCAGTGCTGCAGTGAGCACGCACACGCACACACACAGGCGCACACACGGAGCCCAGAGCCTCCAAAGCCACCTCCCGGGACCCTCGCCCTGCCCCCTCATGGGCAGGGGTCCCAGGCCGCCTCCAGCCGCTGCCTCGGGGGGGCCCTTCAGGGCCAGGGGCTGGCAGACCATGTAACCAGGGCTGCTATTGGGAGCGCGGAGGGGAGGGGAGCCCCCAGCCCTGCTGGGACGGCCCAGGCCCCTCCGCGGCTCCCCCTTGCACTGCCCACCTGCCCAGAATCCCCCCACCCACCCCCACAGTGGCTGTTAACCCCAGGACTCCCCAAGCCCAGCCTCTCTGTGCGGCAGCCCCGAGCGGGGCTAAGATTCCAAGATGCCCTTGGTGGATTTCTTCTGTGAGACCTGCTCCAAGCCGTGGCTGGTGGGCTGGTGGGACCAGGTAGGGGAACTCGGAGTGGAGGGTGGGCAGGGGACTCGGCCCTGGCCCTCCCATCTTGGATTCTACAGCCCCTGGTCTGGGCTGGTGTGTGCTACTGTGCACGTGTGTGGCCTGAACATGAAACCTTGTGACTGTCTGTCTCTGTGTGTGGCCCAGGACTGGGCGGGGAGAGTGGGTGGCTGGGGATGTGGGTCTCTTGCTGGGTGTGACTGTCAGCACTCTCCTGTGTGTGTGTCTGCAGTGGCGTGGGGCTGTCTGACCATATGCTTGTTTGCCTGGGTCATGATGGGGCCCTCTCTGAGATCATATGGCTGTTTGTGGTGGTGTGTGTTGGGATGTGTTTGGGAGCCCAGACCTGTGTGATTTTTCTGGGGCATGTGACCCCAAGTATCAGGGACTGCCTTATTGTGTATGCCCCTCGATTCGTGTGGCTGTGGCTGTGTAGAACTGTGTAAGATGGTAGTCTGTGACTCTGTGTGTGGTTGTGTGACTTTGTGGGTCCATCTTGTGTGTGTATGTGTATCTTTCTGTGCAACTGGGGTCTCTGGCAGCACTGGGAGGAGTAAGCGCCCCATCCTGGTGTGGGCTACGTGAGCTCACCCTTCCTGCCAAGCATCCCTCCTGCCTCTCTGGATGGAGTCTGCTTCTGGTTTGGGGGTGCTTTGGCGGAGCTTGGGGGCGGGGAACCAATGCCCTTTCTCCTCAATGCACAATGTCATAGCAGACGCTTGTGTGAAGTGGCATGGGGGGACCAGGAGGGACTGCCAGGCCTGGTTCTGTGTATACTCCGTTTATCCACGCATGTGCCCACCCCTCTGAGGTTGGGAGAGAGGGGCTGTGATGGGAACCCCTCCCCTGGGTGACCGAACAAGGTTTCCCCAGCTCAGTATTCTCCCCTGCCCTGCCAAACCTTCTCTTCACCCAGAACTTGCATTCTCTCCTGTGAAGGAGAGATTGTATTCTCTCCTTCCAAGCTGGGTTTGGAGCTGGGGGCCAGGACGCCATGGGAGTGGGGCCCATATCTGGGAAGACTTGGGCCAGGGGGGCTCTGGGAAGGCAGGGGTTAAGGGTCTTGAGGCCTGCCCCCCTTTCCCCCAGCTCTGCAGCTGGTTGGAGGGGGAGTTGCTAAGGAGACTCCCATCACCATGGCGACGGGATTCTCCTGACACCCCATTGGCTCACTGTTAGGCAGGAGCCCCTCCCTTCCACAGGTGCCCCTCTGGCTCCTCCTTTTGGGCTGGAGGAGGAGGAAGTCTGGGGAGGGGTGCCCCCCTTCCTCAGGAAGGGAGGGGCATGCTGAGTCCCAACTTCCCAACCTGAGTCCCCATCCAGACCCGGAGGAGAGGAAGGGCTGACCCCCCTCCCCTCCAGCAGCTTGCTGAGGCCTCTCTTGGCTGAGCAAAGAAGTAGGAGGGGCTCATGGGATCTTCAGAAGTTTCTTGGGAGGGGCTGACCTCCCCCACCCTCTGATGCCCTGTCTCCCCGTCATTCCTTCCTTCTTGCCTCCTTCACCTTAGTTCAAGAGGATGTTAAACCGTGAACTCACACACCTGTCAGAGATGAGCAGGTCAGGAAACCAGGTCTCTGAGTACATCTCCACCACATTCCTGGGTGAGTGAAGGGTAGCACTTTGTGGGGATTCTGCACGCCTGGACTGGAGGGGGCTGCCCCAGACCACAGGTCTAATTGGTGACATTTGCCCCAGGGACCCTGGCTCCTGACTCCCCAAAGATCAGGGTTACCACTCTCAAGAGTTCCCATACTCTCAATGCCCCCAAACGCAGAGGGATGTTGACTTTCTAGAACCTCCGCATTAAAAAACTTCTCCAAGCAGAAAAGACCCTCCAAACTCTGTGGAACCGCAGTGGAAATCTCAAACTCAAGACCCCAAGAATCCCACAAACTCAAATAGGATTCTTTTTTTTTTTTTTTTAAGATTTTATTTATTTGACAGAGAGAGAACACAAGTAGGCAGAGAGGCAGGCAGAGAGAGAGAGAGAGAGAGAGAGAGAAGCAAGCTCCCTGCTGAGCAGAGACCCTGATGTGGGGTTCAATCCAGGACCCTGAGATCATGACCTAAGCCGAAGGCAGCGGCTTAACCCACTGAGCCACCCAGGAGCGCCTCAAATAGAATTCTTAAACTTCAAATGCTACCCGGCTGAAAGGCCTCCCCGAATTCAGTAGCATGTCCCAATTCGGATCCCCCCCAACACACACACACACACACACACACACACACACACACACACACACGAATTCAGGAGATCCCGCAAACCTAAGAGAGATGCTCACCTTCAGTAGAGTTCCCAAACTTAAGGGAGCTGGTGTCCTTAAGAGTCCAGAAGAGAACCCCCAAACTTTCAAAAACACTCCAAGCTGAAAAATCTCCCAAACTCAGGAGAATCGCCCAACTTAATATGACCCTCAAATTCAGTAGACTCCTGCGAACTTTCCATACCCGATACGGTGATACAGAATACCTCGAATTCATTAGAACCCTCAAGCCCATGGGGACCTCCAATTCGTCCTAATCGCTGAACCCAAGAGCCCAAGCTGAGGCTGTCCGCCACAATCTCAGGATAATTTCACCCTCTCAATTTATCGCCAAAGGTTTCCAAATTCTGGAGAACCGTCCTGCACAGAGCTCAAGAGAAGTGTTTGGAGTTTCAAAGGCTCCCGCCAATGGGGGTGTGGCCATGCCGAGTTCTGACATCCAGCCAATGGGAGCATGGCATGCAAATAAGCCCTATTAGGCCCCGTTATTGAGTGGCAGGGCCCCAGGTCACAATGGGTGGCCCCGGCTTGGCTCTGGAAGCCGTTGAAAGCTCAGGAAGAGGGCTCCTGGGGCTGGCCCCCAGGTGGCTGGTGTCAAAGGGGTGGGCTGGTGGGAGGGCTCATGGAGCCAGAGGCTACCCTTCCCTCCCGCCTCACCCTGCTCTCCACTCCCACCAGTACTCTTAGTCACCACGGAGGTGTCCCCCCAGTCCGAGAAGTTTCCCTGCCTATAGAGGGCAGGCAGCGACTCTCTCTAGCACCCCCACCCTGCTTCCTGACTTCCCATGCCACCCCCCTGCCAAACCTGGCAATCAGACTGGAGCCACCCCATAGCTCCGGGCCAGCCTCAGAGTCCCCACTCCAGCCCACTACATCCCAGAAGAATTCCTACTTTCCTTCTGGTTTCCAGCCTATAAGTAACCAACAGCATGACACCCTGAAGGGGTCTGCCCTCCCGAGTGAGCCTTCCCAGGGCGCAGTGGGGAGCAGGGGAGGGGAACTGAGGGCCAAATGAGGGCATCTCTGTGGGTTGCTCATGCTTGTCTGGCCTCTGTCTTCTGCAGACAAGCAGAATGAAGTGGAGATCTCATCGCCCACAATGAAGGATGGAGAAAAACAGCCAGCCCCACGGCAGAGACCCTCCCAGCAGCCCCCGCCCCCTGGGCCACAGTTCCAGCCCATGTCTCAGATCACAGGGGTGAAGAAGTTGAGACACAGCAGCAGCCTGAACGATTCCAGCATCCCCCGCTTTGGGGTAAAGACTGACCAAGAGGAGCTCCTGGCCCAAGTGAGTGGCGATTCCGTAGGGGCTGGACCAGAGAAGGACAGGTGTCTGCTGGGGCCCAGCCAAGGACTGGGCATTGGGCCAGTCTGAAATGAGGATTCAGGTATACTGGGGTTATGAGACTCTCAGGAGAGAGGGAGTAAAGGAAGCAGGATAGGACAGAGCTGAGTCGGGAGGTGGCGTGAGCTCGAGCGTGGCCTCTCAGCCCAACCCCTCGAAGAGCTCTGGAGTGTGAACACCACCACCGAGTTGAGCCCATGTTGAGGCAAGAGCACTGAACTCTGTACCCCTGTGTCAGTCATTGGCTGTGGGCTGCCCCCAGAGTGGACAGCGTTACCTCCTCTGTGTAGCTCCCATAGGGGCAAGAAGAACAGTTTCCTGGATAACAGAGCGGTGTGAGTCTTGGTAGGCCACAGTCCCAGTGGGTGGGGGATGGGTGCACCCATCAGTGAAGAGGGTCTGGCCAGAACCCCCATAGCACCCACTACTGGCCAGACCTGGGTTCAGCCACGGGGCTCCCACATGGGTTTGTACAATATTTATTGAGCACCTACTGTGTGCTGGCACTGTTCAGGGTTCTGGGGAGACATGGAAAACTAGCCCAAGTTCCCTTCCCCCTGGCACTGATGAGCAGTTTAGCTCAGAAGTGAAACTGCGCTCTGGGGTCAGCCTAGCTGAGATCACGTTTCGACTTGGCCCCTCGTGAGATACAAGGTCTTGGGGAAGTCTCACCACTCCTCCGGGCTTTGGTTCTCAAACCAACCAAACAAGATCAAGCACTCCGAGTCATGCTGGACAGATAATAATCAGGGCACAGTGGCTGTGGTTGTGTTGTTATCTTAGGGCCCCTTGGGTAAATTCCCAGCCGCTGAGCACGCCCCCCACTGGGTGCGCGATAAGGGTGCTGCCTTCAGACCAGAGCTCTGGATTGCTAGGGAAGAGTGGAGAGGGGTGAAGGTCAACCACGAAGAACTTCTGACCTAAGTGGGTAGGGGCTTGGCCCTGGGTCTTGAGGGCTCCTGACCTCTGGCCTCCCAACTCTGTCAGGAACTGGAGAACCTGAACAAGTGGGGCCTGAACATCTTTTGCGTGTCAGAATACGCCGGGGGCCGCTCCCTCAGCTGCATCATGTACACGATATTTCAGGTAGGGCGGGCCGAGTGGGGCAGGGTGCGAGGGAGGGGCGCAGCGTGGAGAGCGGAGAGCCCGCGGGACTCACTGCCCCCCACCCCCGTTCCTACCCCAGGAGCGGGACTTGCTAAAGAAGTTTCGCATCCCAGTGGACACCATGGTGACCTACATGCTGACCCTGGAGGACCACTACCACCCCGACGTGGCCTACCACAACAGCCTGCACGCGGCTGACGTGCTGCAGTCCACACACGTGCTGCTGGCCACGCCCGCGCTCGATGTGAGCCCCGCCCCCCGCACACCCCCAACTCCCCCATCTCTCTCATTGCCCACCTGCCACCTCCCGTTGGTCTCTCTGCCCCTGGGTCTCTAACCTCCGTCCCTCTCTGATCCTGTTCCTCTTTCTGATTCTTCTCTCTCTCTCCTGACCCCCTTCTTTTGTGACACCCCCATCTTTCTCTTATCTCTCAGACCCCCCCATCTTTCTCATCCATCTATCTCCGGCCCCCACTCTCTGCTCCTAGGCTGTGTTCACGGACCTGGAGATTCTTGCCGCCCTCTTTGCGGCTGCCATTCACGACGTGGACCACCCTGGTGTCTCCAACCAGTTCCTCATCAACACCAGTGAGTGGCCTCCCCCACGGGGGCGGGGCCTGCCGGGTCGGAGGCGGGGCCTGCCCTATCAGAGGCGGGACCTGCTGGGTAGGAGAGGGCCCGGGTTGGCTTCTGCGCTCCTCTGACCCCCTGCCTGGGCCTGGGCCGCAGATTCGGAGCTGGCGCTCATGTACAACGACGAGTCGGTGCTGGAGAACCACCACCTGGCCGTGGGCTTCAAGCTGCTGCAGGAAGATAACTGCGATATCTTCCAGAATCTCAGCAAGCGCCAGCGGCAGAGCCTGCGCAAGATGGTCATCGACATGGTGGGCGGGGCCGGGGGCGGGGACAGGACAGGAAAGATCGCCTCTGAGGCTTGGGGAGAGCGGCAGGGTCTGAGTCCAGGACCAGAACCCCCGGGAGCGGCGTCCCTGTGGGGGCTGGGAACAGGTTGTGCCGAGCGCAGGTGGGGTCCAGGCAGCCCGGGGCAGGGCTTCAGCGACCCCTGTGATGCCCCCTCACCCGCAGGTGCTGGCCACGGACATGTCCAAACACATGACCCTCCTGGCTGACCTGAAGACCATGGTGGAGACTAAGAAAGTGACCAGCTCGGGTGTCCTCCTGCTGGACAACTACTCCGACCGCATCCAGGTGCCCCCCGCTCGCCATATATATAGAGAGACTAGAGCTTCTCTAGACTTCTCTAGACTAGACTTCTCTTCTCCCCTTTGGGTCTGGGTGGCTCCCCTCCCTCGGCCTCTAGCTCCCACGCTGCCCATCTTCCTGTCTCTTTCTTTTCTCTCTCCCTCTCATCTCCATCCCAGTCTCTGTCTCCTGCCATCCTTCATTTCTCCTTCTGTTCCATCAACCCTTTCCTGTCCTCTCTGCCTCCCCCAACACCACCTTCTCTCCTCTCCCCAGCCCATCTCTTTCTTTTCTCTCCCTCACTCTTCCTCTCCCCTCTCCTCCCCGTTTCCCTTCCCTCTCCCTATCCCCACTACCCCTTCTCCTCATTCTCCCCATAAAGGGGGAGGTAAGGAAGCATGAGGTCCCACGCTGGGACAGGGGCACAGACTCTGAAGGTTGCCCGCCTCATGCAGGTCCTTCGCAACATGGTGCACTGTGCGGACCTCAGCAACCCCACCAAACCACTGGAGCTGTACCGACAGTGGACGGACCGCATCATGGCCGAGTTCTTCCAGCAGGGCGACCGGGAGCGGGAGCGGGGCATGGAGATCAGCCCTATGTGCGACAAGCACACAGCCTCGGTGGAAAAGTCTCAGGTACAGTGTTGCGGCCCCTGTGGAAGGTAGCAGGTCGGCCCTCCCCATCCCACACTGGCCTGGAGCCGGGAGAAGTCCAGGTGCTCCTGACCCGCCCCTCCACAAAGTCAAGTTTTTCTGGTTTTGGGTGTTTTTTTTTTTTTCCTTTTCTATCTTGATGGGAAATTCGCAACATTTTCTCTCCTCCAGAACAACCAAACTGAGCCTCTGGACTCACCGCTTGTAGACCTGAGTCAAACAAGTTCTAACTCATTTGTAGCCACCAAATAGCTAATAATAATACTTACCTAGCTCTTAGTTACAGACCTTATGTCCATACAGCCTCTCACTTTCCCAGTAACCACTATCTTGTCCTTGATTTTTGGTGGATTTTTTTTTAAGACTTTATTTATTTATTTATTTATTTTTGACAGAGATATCACAAGTAGGCAGAGAGGCAGGCGGTTGGGTGGGGGGGGGGAAGCAGGCTCCCTGCTGAGCAGAGAGCCTGATGCAGGACTCGATCCCAGGACCCTGGGATCATGACCTGAGCTGAAGGCAGAGGCTTAAACCCCTGAGCCACCCAGGCGCCCCTGGTGGATTTTTTTTTTTTTAAGATTATGTACTTATTTGTTTGAGAAAGAAGGAGTGGTAGGGTGGGGGGAGGGGCAGAGGGGGAGAGAGAAGCAGCCATCCCATGGGCAGGGAGCCAGGGAGCCAGATGCAGAGGCTTGATCCCAGAACCCTGGGATTATGACCTGGACTGAAGGCAGATGCTTTCCCTTGATTTGGGGTGGATTTTGAAATGAGATGCAGTGACTCGTCATCGTGTGCTTATTTAACTTAACAAGAGGTACAGAAACACAATCTTGTTTGTAAAGTGTGAACGGGAAAGAGTCTCACCCTCCCCACTTTCAGTCTCCTCCCCGGTGAGACCTATTTTTTCCCGCTTCACTGTGCATGCCTTTTCAGACCAGAGTTACCCAGCGTTGGCACTGTTGACATTTGGGGCCAGATCATTCTCTGTCACAGGGGCCGCCCTGGGCTTTGGAAGATGTAGAGCGGCATCTCTGGCCTCCACTCTCCCCTTCCAGTGATAACCTATTTCTGGACACTTCCAAATGTCCCCCGAGTGTGTAGATCACCCCATCCTCCAACGCCTGGCAAAACCAGTTTCATACATTTTATTATGTAGTTACGGTTACAGATAACTTAATAGTTCATGGGTTTTGCTTTTTAAAAAAAAATAAGAATTTTATGAATATATATCTGTTTTTATACAGCTTGCCTTTTATCCCAAACAGTGCTTAGAGATCTGTCCAAGTGAAATGGTCAGGCATCTAAGAGAATTCCCTTCTATCATCCAAAGCCTCGGGCCTCTGTCCCCAGAAATGCCTCTTATGATCACAGATGCTATTGAAGCTCTAGCGATTTTGGCTACATAGCAGGGAAGAAAGGTTTCTGCCAGTTGAGGCAGCACCCCTACCCCCTGTTCCCACGCCAGCTCCAATCTTCCGTCCACCTGTGGTCACATTGCCACCCTCTCTCTTTGCAAAGGAGGCTGGGAAATGTAGTTTTCAGCTGTATGAGGGAAGCATTGCCTCCACCAAGAAAAATCAAGATTCTGTTCATAAGAAGGAGGGAAGAGGGACAGCTAGGTCGCTCAGTCAGTTAGGCGTCTGCCTTCGGCTCAGGTCATGATCCCAGGGATCATGATCCCTGAGATCGAGTCCCATTTCAGGCTCCTTGTTCAGTGGGAGCCTGCTTCTTCCTCTACCTGCTGCTCCCTCTGCTTGTGCTCGCACTCTCTCTGACAAATAAGTAAGTAAAATATTTTTTCAAAAGCTTAAAATAAGGAGGAGGGAAGATACTATCAGAGTGGGTTAGCCAATCTTCTGCCGTGGAGTTATTTCTAGTTTTACTTTGTTGCAAAAAAAAAAAAAATGTTACTAATATCCGAGGTTTACCACAATTTTTTTTAAAGATTTTATTTATTTATTTGACAGAGAGAGATCACAAGCAGGCAGAGAGGCGGGCAGAGGGGGAGGGGGAAGCAGGCGCCCCGCTGAGCAGAGAGCCCTATGGCGTGCTCCATCTCAGGACCCTGAGATAACAACCCGGGCCAAAGGCAGAGGCTTAACCCAATGAGACACCCAGGTGCCCCAGCCACAGTTTTTTAAAACTAATTCCCGATTGACAGATCTATGGATATGGACAGATCTATGGATATATGTTTCAGTATTTGCTGGCATCTCCTATGTAGAGATTTTTTTTTTCTTACCTGTGCAAGAGTTTTTCCAGGGTGGATCCTGAGAAGCAAGGTTGCAATGTTAACGGCCATCAGCCTCTTTTGAATTTTGCTAGATCCCACAGCGTGGCAGGACAGTCTGCACCAGCGGGCCCCCAGTTTGTGCCTTTCTCCCTTCTCTCCCAGGTGGGTTTCATTGACTATATTGTACACCCGCTGTGGGAGACGTGGGCTGACCTGGTCCACCCAGATGCCCAGGAGATCCTGGACACGTTGGAGGACAATCGGGACTGGTACTACAGCGCCATTCGGCAGAGCCCTTCCCCGCCACCTGACGAGGAGCCCAGAGGGCCAGGCCACCCACCCCCACCGGACAAGTTCCAGTTTGAGCTGACTCTGGAGGAGGAAGAGGAAGAGGAGGTGTCTACCGCCCCAGGTGCATTTGAAGTTCGGGACTTGACCATGGCTCAGGATCCATCCCCGGCTGAGGAACCGTGGGAGGTGGATGGCCACGCCCTGCCCACAGAGGTGAAGGTAGAGGAACCTGGCGACACACAGCAAGGCGACTCAGCACATAGTGTGGCTACGGTCGAGGACGGGGCCATGTCCCCAGATGCATCCGTGGAGGCTGGGGGCCACAGCAGCCCCCTGGCCCTGTCCACTGAGAGTCCCCCTCTGCCTTCCTTGAGGACCCCGCCCTCTCCAGAGGAAGCCCCGGGCCTCCAGGGCCTCCCCTCCGTGGCGGCCGAGGTGGGGGCCCAAAAAGAGCACCAGGCTGCCAAGAGGGCGTGCAGTGCCTGCACAGGAACATCTGGCGAGGAGCCCACCCCACTCCCAGTTCCTGGTGGGTGGGGGTCAGCTGGAGGTCCTACCTGAGCCCCAGCTCCTCCATCCTGTTGCTCTCCCCGCCTCCCTCCACCACCATCACCCCACGACCACCTCCTCCACTGCCTCAAAGACTCTTGGGCCTCCTGAGAAAAAAGAAAACAGAAAAGTGGGGTTTTTTCTCTTTTCTTTTTTTCCTCTTTCTCCCCACCCCCACCCACGGGGCCTCTTTTTGGAGGTGGGGGCTGGGGAACAAGGGATGGAGGTCCCGGAAGGGATTTTATTTTTGGAATTTTAATTGTTACATTTTTAGAAAAAGAAAAAAAAAAAAAAACCAGGATAAAACACAGCCACTGTAGACGCTCCTGTTCCGGACTAAACCCCTCGTGTCCCCCCTGCCCGCCTCCCCTCCTGTGCCTCCCCCCAGGTCCCAGGCTCAGTCTTCCGGCCTCCTAAGGCTCCCCACCTGGGCCCAAGCAGGCATCGCACCTCCCTCCCTCCCTCGGGGCTTTTCCTCTGAATTTTGGAGGGTCTCTGGAACCCAACCAGGAATAGCCATTCTGGGCGGGGGCTCTGGGGGGGCTGTCTCCGGGGTGACCCCAGCTCCAGCCCCTGTCTGGCTCACTGCCCACCCCCCTCCCAGAAGTCTTCCGCCTCATTTTGCACAAACCTGGCAATACTAACTTCGGGGACAGGGACGGGGACAGGGGAGCTGTGTGCTTTCAGATGTAGCGGAGAGGAGACATTCACACCACTAACCCGGGGTCTGAGGTTCGAGGAGGGCCTGATCCCCCCTCCGCTTGCCATCCCCTTGCCCTTCCACTTTGGGTTCTGTTTGAATTTTCTCCATTTGTGCGGAGAGGGCTCTGAACCACACCCCTCCTTCCAGCTGCTTCTCCTCTTGTTTCTGCCTTAATGATTCCCGTGGCCCTAGGAGAGGGGTTTGCAGTGGCTCCCACCTGCACCTCGGGTGGGGTGGGGCCAGGCCCAGAGCCCCCATCCTAGGCATTCCCCCCTCACGCCCCGCATCCTCCTGACCCCCTTCATGACCCTTTGCCCTAGGAGGAAGCAATAACAGTGTACACCCACATCCCCTTTCGGGGCAGCCCTTTCCCACCCTGGCACCAACCAAAGTCATTTCTCCTTTGCCCCCATCTGGCCATGCCTCCCCCTCACCCCTTAGCTATTCCTGGAGCAATACGACAGACAGATGCAAGGCCATTTTTCTCCAAGCCATGGGGGACTGTTTGGAAGGAAAGACCACCTCCCTTCCCCCTCCTTTATGCCCTTTGCCCCGTTCTGCAGCCGGGTGAGGCGGGGCCTCTCTCTCACTCCTGCACCCCCAATTCTGAGCACACGGTACTGTAGCCCCCAGCTGCCCGCAGCCTTCCATCTGTCTGTCCATCCCGGTGGGGAGTACCACCCACTCCCACCCCCATGATGCTGTACAGGGTTCATTTTTGTAGCGACATTAGTTTCTGTCCCCCACCAGTGACTGGAGTGGGACTTCTTTTTGGTTTTCTTTTCTCTCTCTCTCTCTCTTTTTTTTTTGTACATATTGTATGGTTGGTTTGTAAATTATTCTACAGAGGCAAAAAGGGAAAATAAACTTGCCCTTCCCCCAGCTGACCCCGGTCAGGGGAAGGAGGGGTGGGGTCTCCCAGAGAGAGGGTCCTCATTCCCACTCTGTATTATACAAACTGTACCACAAACCCCGAAAGCGTGGGTTCCGCGCTGCCACTCGATGAGAAATCGTGTCATTGTAGGGGGCGAGGGCTGAGCAGAGCCTGCCCCTTCCCCCTTACCCAGGTGTGACTGGTGAGATGGAACCCCACCCCCAATCAGGGCTCCTCTCCCCAGGAGGGGGGGCGCAGGACCCCCCCCGAGCTGCTCTTGTGTTGTCCACTTTGACGATCAATCAGTCCGTCCGTTGATCGATAATCAATCCTTGTCTCCAATTAAACCGAGGCTTTCACCGATCTTTTTGACTTATGTGACTTCCTTTCCCACCCTGTTCTTGGCAGGTGCGCCTCTCCTTACACTGTCTGTCTGGGGTGGGGGTAAGGGGAAATGGAATCTCTGTCAATATCCCTCCCCAGGCAGATAGAACCCAAGGGAAGGGGGCAGGGAGTGTGGCAGGAGGCAGCCTCTGTCCCCACTCCCACCCCCTCCCCACCCCCGCCGGGGCCTGGGCTGGACGCCTGCTCAAGGACTCCAGGTTGTAAAGTGGAAGTTCAGACCAGTCTTTGGAGGCCAGCAGACCCAGGTAAACCCGACTTCTCTACAGCATATCTGACACAACTCTTGGGTACTTCTGGAACCTCAGAGTAATTCCTGGAAACCTCAAGGGAGCCTGACTAATGAAGCCCCTACCATCTGGCTTCCAGGCCATGATAGAAGGCCTCTAGTCGAATTCTGCTGTGCAGACATTAAACTTGATAAACAGGCACAAGGGCAATTTCTTACCCCTATAAATTCTATGAATTCGCAGGATCCTGACCATTTTGGTATTGCAACCTTCATGTTGCATTTAAAAAAAAAAAAACAAAAAATCTGAATATCTTTTTTTTTTTTTCTTTAAAGATTTCGAGTAATCTCCACACCCGATGTGGAGCTCGTACTCACGGCCCTTTGATCAAGGGTAGCATGCTTTATTGAAACCTGAATCATAAAGGCAGAGCTCTGTTGCTTTGAGCCTGTAAGACTTAACGGTCTGTATCAGGCGATCTAAATCCTCCAGATTCACACACGACTGGCTTGGGATTGAAGCTGTTTTGCTAACGTGTTCGGTCGAGGTTGGGGAGTGAGCGACTCTCAGATATTTTAACCAGTCCACATGTTTGAATACTGTAAATTCCACTCAAGGGATCCCATTTTCCCCACCTTTTATCAGGGCAATTAACAAACCCTTGATTTCACCAGTGTTTCTGATATTCATTATGTTAATGAGCGAACCTTCCCAAGCGGATGAAGATAGGGGTAACAGAAGTGACTGATTCGAGCTTTTGGTTTAGAATATGGGCCGTCTCTGGGGTGTAGTTAATTGAGATACACACAGACACACTCAGGGCTTAAGTGGTTCAGTGCAGTGGAGTCAACAGATGCATATATTCACACCATGTGTGTTTTGAAATAAAATGAGGGCAGCTTCCTTGGATCTAAGGAAAGGTGACCTGCCTACACTGCTCTATTCGCATCTAGTTACCAAGGAGAGGCTGAGATCCCAGCTCCAGCTGTGTGACCCTGGGCGTGATCTCTGCTGTCTCATCTCTAAAATGAGGATAACAAAAGTCCCAGTCAGTTTAGGGCAGGGCTAACCGGTGAAACCTTCTACAATGATGGGAATGTTCTGTCCGTGCTTCTCCAATGTGGGAGTAGCCGCTTAGCCCCACGTGGCTGTTAAACACTTGAGATGTGAGTGCCACTAAGGAGCTGGAGTTTTCATTTTCCCTCTTCATTAAGTAGCCACATGCAGCCAATGGCTACCAACTAAGACTATATACAGTTCTGGAACTTGAGAGGGTGAACGGGTAGGCTTAGCATTACTAAGGTTTGTCTGGTTCACTGCGGTTTGAAGATTGACAGTATGTAGATATCCTGGCCCAGAGAAGTAGGGGAAAGCTTGGAGCCAGAGAGGGGGGAAAAAAAAAAAGGCTGGAAAACTAGGTAGAAGTTTCCAGGGAATCTGAACTTTGTGCAAGCAGTAAAAAGGATACACAGACGTTTTCCCAAGGGTGTTTCTAAGGGAGGCAGAGTCGGGGAAAGGGTGTCAGGCTGAGGGTCAGGAGATGACAGCACCAATCCTGGGCTGCACAGGAAGACCGATGAGACTTCTTGCTCTGGACCTCAGGTTCCCCAAGTGTAGCATGATGTCCCAAATGCCTCCTCTGCTGAGACACTGTGACAATCTGAGAATGCAGGTCAAAGGCCAGAGGTGGGCATGTGACCATCAGCTGGCTCTTTAAAATTCTCGTGATGGGGAGTTCATCTTTCCTCAGGCAAAGACGACCAAGGGTAGTGGGGCACAGCCGCAAGGCCTTGTAATCCAGATAGGACAGGGAGACCTGGGGAAGGGGTGGAGTTCACGTTAAGTTGACATCAGCCACTTGCAAACAAGCTACGTGGTCTGGGACAAAAGGCTCTGGCTCTTCCTGTCTTTCAAGGGCTGTGCCCTGTGCTAAACTCATTAGATGGGGGGGCGGGGGGGGGCGGCGTCTGGGTGGCTCAGTGGTTAGAGCCTCTGTCTTCCCCTGGGATCGAGCCCCACATTGGGCTCTCTGCTCATCAGGGAGCCTGCTTCCCCCCCCCTCTGCCTACTTGTGATCTCTGTCTGTCAAATAAATAAATTTTAAAAAGTCTTCAAACTCATTAGATGTATTATCTTATTGGCTCTCCAGTAGTCCTCGAAATATACACCATTATAGGAAACTGAGGCCTGGAAGTGATCTAACCCTGTCGAGGAAAGGCAGAGACCTCACTTCACCTACTGTCTGTCCCACAATGATAGCTGCTAGATAACTACCTGATACTTTCATTATTATTGCTCCTTTTATTTTTTTAGCCCTACACCCAACATGGGGCTTGAACTCACGACCCCAAGATCAAGTGTCACATGCTATACCAGCTGAGCCAGCCAGGTGCTCCTATGATTGCTACTTTATTCCAATGGATAATATTTCTCCTTCTTTTAAATAAAATTATAAATAAAATTATAATATTCTCCTTTTTTAAATAAAATTATAAGTGTAAATTAAAACACTTATTTTTATTTTTTAAGTTTATTTTTTTTTTAAGATTTTATTTATTTATTTGTCAGAATGAGCACAGGCAGACAGAGTGGCAGACAGAGGCAGATGGAGAAGCAGGCTCCCGCTGAGCAAGGAGCCCGATGTGGGACTCAATCCCAGGATGCTGGGATCATGACCTGAGCCGAAGGCAGCGGCTTAACCAACTGAGCCACCCAGGCGTCCCTTTTTTAAGTTTATTTTTAAGTAAGATCTTTGCCCAGTGTGATCTTGATCTCAGGGCCCTGAGATCAAGAGTCAGATGCTCCAATGACTGAGCCAGCCAGGCGTCCCTAAAAGATTATAAATAAATAAATAAATATATAAAAATAATAAATATTATATATAATTAACATATATTTATTTATTTTAAGCTACTGGCAAATAATGAAAAGATGGACCATCCTTGGGTAAGCAAAGAACTTTCATAGCTCATTAGTGTTGGTGGAAGTTGGCACATA